TTACAACTTTATTTTTATATATTGGATGGCCCATACTTTTTGTCGAGCTAAACATTTGGATAAGAAATGACTGACATATTGTCGACACGGTGGGGGGTTAGATATGATCGGTCCGTCGAATTACAATAAAAGTAACAGTATCAGTATAACGCGAAATGAATACAGTATTGACGTGTTTTGCGCTGTCCGTGGCTTGTTGTCACGTCGGGAAGACTGTGCAGGCCAACGTCGGCGGTGTGTTTTCACCAAAGGTCGGTGTTGGTCTTTTACACGATGACGGGCCGGGCAATATCGTCAATGATCGTCCGGATGGGTCCAAAGTGATTCACAGACAAAGGAGGGAGAATCCGGCCGTGCTCAAATACATACGCCAACATGCACCGAGGTTGGCCGATGCGTCGAACGACTTGCGAATGACCAATAGGATGGCGTTGAATAAAATCCGGAGTGAGTCTATCAGAATAGATAAAAAATACGAAACGTTAAACGAACTAGAAAGAGAATTAGTACACACCGTACCCAAATATCAAATTCATACCCCATTGGGTGTGAAAGATGACACATTGTTGAATAATAGGCACGACATACAAAAAGACGAAAAACACTTTACAGAGGTGTTAGACGAAATGTTTTCCAAGCAAAACAAAGAACTTGGCGCTAAATTGGCGGCGAAAAAAAAAAAAGACAGAGCAATCATGTCAGAGAGATAGACATAGTTGAAAGCATATATCGATACAAGTGTATTCCTCCTAATTTAAAACCGGCCGTACGGGAAGTCATCAAAAGAGAATAGCGTGATTAATTGTTAATGTGTAATAATTTTATATTTATACTCTATTAAATGGTATGTGTAATATTGATCATTAGTTATGTTGATTAAAATGTAATGATTATCATTATAATATAAATATAATATATTTGATCGTAGAGATAATAATATCTGTGGGAAATGTACCATTATTTTTTTTCTTTTGAAATTATATATGGACTTTTTACATTTTTCTACTAGATTTAATGATGTGTTTAAAAAAAATAATTGAATTAAGAATATGCTTAAAATATATTTTTGAGTTACCGAACGTATATTTCAATAATGTTTTTTTTGTCACGGTTGCCATTAATAATGGGTAGTAGAACGTAAGTTAAAACAATTGTTATTATTTATTATCAAATACATTATATAGGAATGTGTCCTCGTAGCCGTTACTATTATTAAATCTGCAGATAAGGGTAGTTCACTTAAGAAAGTTTATTATTAATTTATTGAAATTAATTTATAATAATTTTAATAAGTATTTTGACTCTAGTACAGTGTATGCGTAGCATTCACAAATGTGAGGACGCATGGTGTCAATCAGTGATAACCGTCGAGTTGATTTTATTTACTTGTAATAATTTGTTATATGTACCAGAACAAGTGTCCGTGCGGACTTCCCTTTAGTAATGATCAAGAGATAGGCTGTGATTTCTAATTATAAATTGAACAGACTAAATACTGATAACACTTTTGTCTAAACTTATAAACGATTGCTCTTCTCAAACAAACGCCCACGGGAAATGGTCATAAAAATATATCTCGTTACAAGCGAATTGTCGGTGTCAATTAATGAGCCGTGTAAATATCTGTTTTAAACGTATTTGCGACGTTATTAGGTTTGTTGTGCACAATCGAGGGTTACTCGTGTTGGTTGTCGACAAAGAAGACACTGGCCGGCCTTGGTTTCTGACGACGCTGTCTCAAGACGTGCGGAAATTCTCATCAATTATGAGATAGCGTCACATGCAAATGCGTGCACGGCGTATGCAGCCAACGGTGAAGACATACAAATATAATTGCACTGGCATCATAAATGTTATGGAAATTTTAATTTGAAAATGGCGAATATTGCGGCAGAAATTCTACATATTATTTTATACGATACTTACCGAAAACAAGTTAGCGACAATATCAATTGAATACTTAACATTGATTTTAAAATATACGGACAGAGGGGTTACACAAGAACGGCGACCGATTTTATGCTGGATTCCCTCCTTTAACAAGAGGTACCCTCGTCATTGCTTCCTCTCTGCCTATCCATAAACTATAGCACCGCTGTCTGTGTATTTTAAATATAAATATTAACAGTAACAATTAATATATATATTAGAATTCACAAATGATACCTACATATTTGATTTTTTATTTTATTGACTGACGGCAGGTTAGAAAAAGAAAAAGTAGGTGGATTTTAAGTTAAGGAGATTTGAGAAATGGACAATAAAATGGCAAATGTTTGATTAGTATCATTGCGTATGGTTTTCTTATTTGTCTGAGAGCAGGTTTTAAGAACTTGTTCAGTCGCCCAAGTCGGTCGGTGCCCGGTGGGTAATCTATTTTTCTAGACATTAGCCTGCCCAAAAATGGAGACCTTACCCACTCGGCTAATCGTACTCCGTAAATTATTTTTGGAGACAGAAACTGACTTACTAAATTTTGATTTTCAAGAATATCAAGCTTGTTTATTATAAAAAAAAATGCATGTTTTTTTTCTTAAGTATTGTACATTGTATGGCTGCTTAATGATAAATATTTTTAATATAGTTAGGCCATGTTAGCTATTCACATGTTGATATACAAACACCGTGAAAGTAACACTAATGTACGTTATTAAAGCAGTTTTCAATACATATGAATTATGTATATAATATTGAAACGACAAAAATTTTATATTTTTATTTTGATACGTTATTTCATAAAAATTATAAAATAAAAAAAAAAATGTTTTTCTTCAATATTTGATTAGTTGTTAAGTACATAAAGAGAAATAGCGATTCAGAGAAAAAATAATGTGTTGCTCGTAATGAATTATGCATATTCTCAAACCGTTTTACAATTAATTTATAATACTTTTTAATATCATGTACAGTTTATACCTTAGATTGATGCGCTAGTGAGAGATTCCATTGTTTTACTTTGCTTAAACGCAGTTAATATTCGTTACTATTATACATTTTTTTTTTGTTCTGTTATGCCAAAATCCTCAACGTCGAGTTATACATTTTTTATGTGGCATTGACCTTAGTGAAAAAAAAAACGTATGTTTTCACGGTAATTATCTATATCGAATCGATTGTTTGATTGTAAAAAGTATTGTCTTCATGTTTTACTTGTCTATGGCAGTGTTATTTTTTACTATTTTATGAAAACCGGCTATAAGTCTCCGAAAAATTAAATTAATTACATTTATGTACTAAACATTAACACACACGTTTGACATCAACAATAAAAATGACAGTATTGTTATATATTATTGTATATTATATTATATTGTCAAATATTGCCCTTTTATATATACTTCAACTTCAATGTTTTAAGTATTATACATTCTACAATACTATTATATTGTATGTATCTAAATATATAACTATTGGAACTATTATATATTATACAAAATATATTTATTCTTTTATAGAGTGAGATAAGGCGGCTGTGTGTAACCTAACCTAACTGGCGGTTTGTTCCTCCAGGCGGGTTACTGTCTGGGGTGAGAAATGAACCTATCTCTGGGGCCAACTTGTTTGGTAGCTTTAGGTCGACAGTCAGCTATAGCCCAAAATGGCCAATCTAAACCGTCTAAGCCTTGATCGGTAGAAATAACGGTCGTTAAACGTACATATTTTTTATAGAGTTTTTAATGTGTTTCAAAATATTAAATTTAGTGCCCCGGATCTTAAAATTACAGCATTAATTCTAGAGGATCTTTTTAATTGGGCTCCAACCCCTGTTTCAATTATTGCTTTATTCGAGGTCATCTAGTTCAGTTAGTTTTAACTAAAATTGATAAATGTCTGTGGTAAAAGATAAAATGTACTAGATTATTATTTCTAAATTTGTTGGAAGACAAAATAGTTTTTTTTAAACTGATAAATTTGTCTTAAAAAATATTATTCAGTTAATTCTAAAATAAAAGATATATTTAATCTAATACTTATTTTATTAAAAATGAACAAAACAAACTAGTTATGGTAAGGACATGGAAACTCAAGCTCAATATTTTCATGTTAAAATAATTCAATTCGACCACGCACTGTGGCCTAGCCTTGTTGTTGATTTACACGGTGTCCCAACAGATGCTGGATCATATTAAGTATATAAAACGGGTGCGCTAAGTCGCTGTTTCACGGTACATTTAATACCGAAGACAATACGGCCGGTTGTTTTTGCTGTGTTATTATTATTTTTTTTATTGTTTTAGGAGTTCCCCTCCCCCGCCGTTTGATTAGACTTTAAGGGTAAAGGTGCCCGCCACGTTATATGACAGCAGTGTTTGCCCGTCGTTTTTCATCCGGCTCGACAGCGTGCTTAATGAACACAGGAAATAAAGGCCGCCCAGACCGATGAAATACGACTTCGGCGTAACTCTTGTTTCGCGCTAAGAAAATTTTCCCGCGATAAAAGCCCTATGTTCCCGTCGACGGTTAATGAAATAACGCGAGAATATATTATTGTTGTTGCTCTGTTGTCGGGCGTGCGGTGTTTTCCCGTCTTTTCGATACTAATTAAAAGAACAAAAAAAAAATGAAAGATGCCCGCTGCTAGTTTCTCGTACCGTTACACTATCGACTGTAGCTGTTGTTGCATATATATATATATATATATCTACACGATATAAGAGATGTGCCGTCACTGCCAGACGGCACGACCTCCTGTGGACGTGACGGGCCGTTGCGTGTCCGCTGTTTTTTCATGCAAAACAACCGAAAATTATGTCATTACGGGAGACGTGTACCCAAGGTTGTGTGGTGGTCGTCTTCCGGCAAACCAAGAGAAGCGATACGAGCACCAGCGGTACCGGAGGTCTTGTTGGCTGCCGAACGGTCCTTGGCGGGAAGGCCACGAACAACGGAGACGGTGGAAATAATAATAAACAATATATCTACTGTGCAAAAAAAAAAAAAACCCCCGTGGAAAAACATACCACACACACACAGTAGCGATTTTCCGCTTCTATTTAAATGATCGAGACGCCGCCAGGACGGTCCGCAGATCGTAGTCGTTCGCCGTCCAGTACGTGACCAGTCACGGTATACGTCCTGCTACACTTGTCGGGAATTAACCGGTTTCGGGATTTCCGTTTGAAAAAACAGGATAATTCGGATAATCCATGGCCACGTACTTACCACGAACCGCAATCGTGGCGGCGGTCTGTCTGCTCCAGACCGCGGTTATCGCCGAGATCCTTAGACCCGTCTGGCAACAGTATTATCCAGGACACCATGCGTGAGTTATGATCGAAAAGCATTTACTACTTATACATTTGTACCTATAGAGTCTAAAAGGACTGGTGGAAATTTTCGCCCAATCGAGGTAGGTTCATTACTAACGGTCGTTTTGAGCACGAGTCAACAGTCAAGCTTAAACATTAAATATTGTAGCTTAAAATTGTAGGCTTAGCAGTACCTAAAATATGTTAAGTCAAATCGGTGAGACCGTCCATAAGCGTTGAAAAAAATTCCAATGGAGAAATATTTAAAAAAGTTACGAATGGTTTTATTTATAAAAAAAAACACTCGAGTCTTACGATAAACTAATTTTTGTTAAAATCTTGAAATGTCGGTAACTTATATAAAACAATATTGTACACCGAATGCCGTTGGTTTTGTTGTTACCTTTAATAGTTTTATTTTTATACATTTTATAAAATTTAGTTTTTTTCTCTTTTTAATTACTTTAATATAAGTTTACAAGAAGTAGATAACAGTTAGCGTGTATTTTCTCTAAAATAATTGCCAAAAGCCACCCTAAAATTATTGTGTTATGAAAAGTCCGTTGGATCAATCAGAATTCAATAATTCTGAACACGAATATAAGTTTAATAAAAGCGAATAAAAACTTTTGTCTTTATATGCAAAATACATACGTGCAAAGGCGTACATATACTTTTTTATATTTTTTGTTATATACTTTGTTATATTTTCCCCTCCCGAAAACGGCTGTCAGGCGAATATTGAATTACATTCCACTTTGAGCATTCCATTTACCTGACGAAATGCCTCCCTTCGGTATTGTTTTTGTTTTTTTAACAACATATTATTTATTAAAATAATATTCCAATTTTTCATTGATTTTCATCCCCACAACAATACGCCTTTAGGATGGTATAACATCAGCGAACGCGCTCTTATGATAAATGAATGAATGTTGTAGCTTGTCCAAGTTTTAGTAGTAAATGAACGTCGAATGTCATCAAAGTTAAAAGCGCTAAAAAATTATATTGGCTTGAGGTCTTTAAAAAAAAAAACAGTGCGTTATCACGGTTATGGGGTACGAGCGATTCAAAATAATGTATTTTTTTTTAAGTTGTGACTTTCTAGGTAGGGATTAGAACGAGTTTATCTAATATTTTACACTAATTGGGAAAACAAATTTCTCGATAGCAGGAATAAGGATTACAACTACACGTCTATTGGACGTTTTTATTCGGTAAAGCTTTGAAAAAATTAAGTTGTAAATTACTTATAATAAATGCAATTTTATAACGATAATATTTGTCATTGTTTGTGCTTGTTTTAGATACGGCATACGGTATTTCGAAAAGTTAGCATCCATACGGGAAAACTTTGAAAAGGGTGTGCCGCACAACAAGTAAGTTGCATCCAGCTAGTCGTTTACGTTTCGGGTCGACGATATATGTTATTATCATTTTGCAATTGAACATGGTCATAACAAGTGTCAAACAAATTGTTCAATTTCATTTATTTATGGAAATCGGATTATAGTTTTTCGAAACGCCGACGTGTTTGAGAATAATACGTCAAAAGCGATTTGATTTATGGTATTTAAAACATTAATGGCTTAAAGTACAATGGCAATGGCGTAACTTACAAGCTTCCAATATTTATTTTGATTTTTAGATGATTTATAGTGACAGGAGGAATTTTTTTAGTACCTTAAACAAATTATTCCGTTACCAGTATACACATTTAACCCAATTGTAAAACTCAGTCAGAGAAAATAATTATTTTTTTGCAATAATAATAGACCCAAAAAGAGAATTTGGGAAAGGGAGTTTTTAAAATAAATGATGTTGGCACTTAACAATATATAATATAATACGCAATTATTGTTTATTTTATTTTTCCAGGACAAATTAACTAGAACCTCAATGACCTTCTGAAGTTCTTAAAATCTCCACACCCCAAAATATTAATTTAAATTTAAATTTAAATAATTTCCCTAATTATAGAAAACAAATGTAATAAATTATCTAAATTTGCATTAAAATTATCTCTGAGGAGAATAAACAATACAAATGTTTTTAATGAACAGCTGTGAACGAGTAAGTAACATTTTGTGAACAATAACGGTTTTAAATAAACCGTAATTAAATATTACAAAAAAAATAATGTCCAAATTTTGTTTAAGTCGATTCCACAACAATGATTTATTGTGTCCAACTGACAACTTGACATCAGACAAAATATTTTACCAACTTTAAAATAACTCGATTCTAAGAATTAATTAAAACAGTTTTGTTTATAACAGAAGTTTACTATGTCAAATAAGTCGAACGAACTAAATTTATATAAAAAAATTAAAAAAAAACAACATTTAACTATACATAACTTTTTGTTTACCAATAATCTTTAGTTTCTTTGTGGGATTGAGAATATAATGATTTGCGATTACGATGGGATTATTGCACTTCCAATAAAATATCTAACTACAAGCTACAGAACAACTTAAAATATACAAATTAATAAAAAAAATGTCGACTTCAATTTTAAGGCGTTGGAAATTTGTAAAACTCTATGGCCTATAACCCAGCTTCTAATAATCATAAATTGCCTGTAATAATAAATAAAATAATGAATATTGAAATGTTAGAATGTTATATCTTATAAACTATCCTGTTAATCTTAAGTAACGGATGGACAGGTAGATAACATAAAATATATTATTTCTTGAAAATTGCGGGCAAAGGTTTTTTTCCCCACTAATTTTAATGGAAGTTAGGCGTAACCTATTATAAAAAAAAAAAATGTTTTATTAACATTTTAATATCGAGTTTACGTTGTTAGCCGTCGTGCCGTAAAATGAAGTCGAGGATAACACTAAAAAGAAAATCGTTATTCTTCTGGGAAAAAAAATATCTACGAAATAAATAATTTTCTAGTACACAATTTCTAATACAAAGGGACAAAAATTGAACGATACGTTTTAAGATATTTATCAGCGTACCTACCTAAAGCCATTAACAGTATGAATTTTCGTAGATGGGGTTTTTACAATCGTATGGACGTTACTTCGAACAGCAACAAAAAGCGAAGACTGCGCATGGGAAGCGGATGGTACAAGCTCGTACCTCCCACGGGAGCTGAGATCAACTGTGAGTTCCCGTCTACCGTGCCAGTGATATCCGTAAGTACACAAGAGAATTAAAAAAAAATCCCACAACACACACACACTATCCTCACACAGCGGTAAAATGATATTAGTTTATCCGTATGAAATAATAGTTATTACTAACGTGATATAGGTGACTTGAAAACGTTCAAAGGAAACAATTATGTAGCTTGGTTAGGATGATGGAATGGAAGATAAATTAGAAAATAGTTATAATTGCATTTAACGTACATTTTTTTTTTAAATTCTTTATTTGATACATACAATCATATGACAATGGAGTTTAATATGATATTTCTGTTTACAATCGCATGTTTGACTTGAGTAAGAAATGAGAATAAAACATTTTTTTTTTTTAGTGTGATAATATTTTAGTTATTGTGAGGAGGCGGAAAAGGAAAAAGGACCTCAAGTCGTGAGAATCAAAATCGCAGAAACGGCCAAAATATCGCGTAGGTTACAGCTCGAGCTACTCTCATCTATGAATTTTTTTAAGTATGAAGAATATAGGGATTTAAGTTATTGAAAAAAAATATTACCTAAGGTTTACAAGCCTTATGATATTATCACGGTAAGACGATTTGAGTTATTATACCTCTACTTTGTTAGTTACTTTGACGACGTGTGCGCGTTAAGCTTTAAGGAAATTTATATGTTCAAAGAACGTCGAACAAGGGGATGAGTGGTGGTGGTGTTCAATTGCTTCTAGTGATTCAATTCATTTTACGTCTTTGCCGGTCGCTTCCTTAAGTGCATTTACTTAAAGGGCGGAACAGAAACGAATAAGTTTGCTCGAACAAATTTCATTGCATCGTTCTCTTTGTAAAACGATACATCGTGTACTCTATATGTTTTAGCTTTTTGCTGAAACATCCGCCGGAACAAAGTAGGTAATACCGGCGTTATTTCCTAACCATTTTACCGCATAATGTTGAGCTACACCGAATTTTAATAATAACCTTTGTGTTCTAAGAACTCATTGAAAATACAAATATTCTCAACTACAGTCTTTTTGCTTTTAATATTTATCTATATATTATTATACTGTACAAACTGCAAAGATTTGGTTTTCCTATAAGTTTTTGACGACAAAAACTATTTTCGAATGGGAATTTGTTAAATTTATAACCTAAAACATGTTTGGTGTGTTTACTCTAGTTAGTAATAATGTTATTGCCAGTGAAATTTTCTTTGATGTCTTATAGAATGCTGTTGTCCGATTATAACTGTATTTTGGCAACTAATAGGATTCAATGCTTGTGGGATGTTATACTAACTATAATAGCTAGTAAAATTGTTACTTCTTCCCAAATAGTTAACTGCCTCTTATATACTCATTTCTTATTTATCTAATTTAGTCACTCTAAAAATCTTTCTCAACATTTTATTTTCGGCCACATCTATGTTCTTTATATTTTACATTTCTCTTATTCAGTGACCTTCACCTACTTTCCTAAATGCTCGCTATCCCAACTACCGTTTTATAAGACCATCCTTTCATTAAAAAATGCACCGTCCTGATACACCTTTTTTGCATCTTTCTATTTCATTCAATTGCACTTTTTATGTTCACCATATTGTATTTTTTAGTTCTACCATTCACTTACATAACTGATGCCAAATATTTATCTACTCTATTTACCTCTTGTCGTTAACAAATAACCGGGTTCCTATTCCATATAGTTATAACAAACTTAAGTTGTAAATTTGGTCGCGACCAGAAATAAATCCTATAATACAGACATATTAGTTGAAGGAAACAAGGGAAAAACGGTAGTAGTCACATTATGACATTTTTTTTTAAATTTATGCGATTAATTTTTTATATTTATGTCAATAGATCGTTTAATAAATACATTTTTTTATTAGAACAGCATTTAATGGGATTTTTTTTTGTTCTTATGTAAGAGGGAGAGGAATTCACGAACTTTGTCTTTGCTGTACTCTAAAATGTTCATAATGGGACAACTACCGTTTTTCCCGTGCGCCCTTCAGTTATAGACGAGCAATTGTATTTCGGCCGACAACAATATTCTTTTAGACAACGATAATAGTGTTATTATACCACCGACTATCTGTTTCCAGTAGCTCGTATTCAATTTTAATCGATCTCTGCACCTTCAAAGTAGGTTAAGTGCTCCGTACCCGCTAAAATTAAAAATATTTATTTTTCACCAAGTCGCAACGACATGGCAGTTTAGGAAGACGGATTCAATAACGACGTTGATTGTTATATTAGTCGTGTAATTATTTTGCAGAACATTGTCTGGGAACGTGTGGACCCGGGTAAAGTCGACAAGGAGTTCGCACTCAGGCGGCTGGGAGAAATGCAAACATATGATATGCACCTGAGGCCCAGGGGGAGTACGCTGCATTTCCACGACGTGACACCGTTAGACAAAGGTCTGTACAGATGTATGGCGTCGTCTGTGGATAAGCTGACGGGCGAATCGCAAACAATATTTCAAGACACAGAGTTCTACCCGAACATATAATAATAGTAATAATATTTTGCAACTGCTGTTGTTGTTATAAGATTATGACGGCTGCGCCGCAACTGGCATAATGGGACCTAGTCGTCGTGTGTCATAGTGCTCTACTGCATCAGGTGTGCATTATTATATTACACGAGCGCGAACCAATGGAATACAGATTAAATTTTCTGCTGCGGGTGTCTTAGACGGTTTATATTCAAATAAATCGTTTTCGGGTCCACGGTAAAAAAAAAAAAAAATTCTATTCCACCGCACTACTCGTAGTTAATTAATAGCCCATCGCTTGGTCAAACACTATTATATTAGACTTTTTTTTGTAATAACCCCCCTCCCCATTCTTCTTAAAGACGATATTATTATATAGACGATGTTGTTTAGTTTTTTATCGTGACAGCTACACAACAGCTGTACAACTATCGTTTGTGTCAAACATGTAAACGACTAAAAAAACCATAGCACTTCTAATTGTTATAATTTATCACTGTTTATTAGGTATTATATTATAGTATAAAATTAATGCCGAGTTATGTGTGTATAAAAAAAGAGTTTATAATATTTTGTTGTATATTTAAGATTTATTATTAAAGATTATTGAAGAGAAAATAATGTAATATTGAAACTATTTTATAAGCAACGCTAGCTTACACTTATTTGGTTTTTTCTAACATTATTGTATAGTACCTAACTAACTATATAAATTTTAAGTTTTTTTTTATAATAACTGTTCCTATGAATAGATTTTTATATAGGAAATTTTTCAATTAACAGTAAATTAAAAATGTTTTAAAACTTCTGGTTGCCTTTACATTTTATTTTGATCGAATTAGTTTTACAAAAAGAATAACTTGTGTGTATTATTTTTCTGTAGTATTTTAGGGTTTTATTACAAAGATCAGCATTTTTATCTTTAACACGACGGTAAGAATGTGTCAATTTTTCTTACATTTAATTTGTTGCCTTAAAAATCATCAGACCAATAGAAACACATATTTAGTGAACTGTTTTTAAATTAGTTTTATTTATGGTTATTCCATCCGGGATAACTCAAAATTCTTCAATATAATATTATTTACTATAATACCGGTTTATTTTATTGTGTAAAAAATTTTTTTTTTCACTAAAAAATATGTAAGAAGATAAAGTGAATTCTTTAGGCAACAACATATAGGTTTACATGTGTTCGAAATACAAACTACACTTGCTAAATGTGTGTTGCTAGTTTTATGTTTTAACAAAGTAATATTTTGCAGCATAGTGATTTTCAGTTTTATTAAAAAAAAAGGTTTTCGATTATTTTGTAAATGTACTCTATACGAGTTATTAGCATCACGTGACGTTGTTTGGCATAAATAAATATTGGTAAAATAAATACATTGTATTATTTGTGTATAGTAGAATAATACACGGTAAAAACGGCGTTCTGTGTATGCAATATAGGTACACATGCATTGTAAGGACAGTTAATACGTATAGCAAACCATAATAATTTAATCCCGTTTGTATACTTAACGTATAGCGTTTTCCACATATAGTTTAGCAAAATTTCACAAACGTTTAGTTGTTTCCTACGGAAAATTCGGCAGCAGACAGACGATGATTATCGTGTAGAGTTTTATGGAACGCAGAAAAACTATTTACAAAATATTATATTCTACGTAGGTCTTTTAATCTCGAATCATTATTTCCCAGAACGCAGCTAGACAGCCCGACTTATTGTTGTTTTATCGCCCATAAAATCATCCACGACACTAATAATTTATAGACTTCCAAAAATCGCTGTTATCCGACTAAACTTATTATTTATTTTGTCGTGGAAACTCATATAGACACATGCCGATTATATCCTTATCATAAGTTTCAAATAAAATCAGAACTTTATCCAAAATAAACACTTTTTTTCGTAAATAATTGTAAACCGAGTTTATTCCACCGCTTAGGTTACAATATGAATAAATGGAAAGTAATTGAAAATGAAAAATCTGTTGAACATAACAAGATGAAAATATAAACATATAATATATATTATCATAGGTATCTTTTTTTTTTCGTTGAAAATTTTGTTTATTTACAATCTATACAGAATAATATGTATATTAAGTTAGTCTGATGACAATGACAGAGTGACAAAGTTAGAATAGGAAGGCTCTCAGCAGTGCCACCTGACAAGAATAAAGGTATATTATGATTTTTTTGCATTAAGCAAAAAAAGTATTTGTTTTACACTTTTTATTGAAAGTAGTAACATCACGGTATAAGATGGTTTTCATTAAATTAGAAAAGTTAAATTAAGGAAGAATATCTGTTTATTAGATGAAGAGTTCAATTGTAAAACGCCCCCCTCCCCCCCAAAAAAAATACATTGTTTTACCCTCGTACATGTCTATATCTTAAAAATAACTGTAATAACTTTTCTACTCATTTAATATTTTACATAGATTGTAATATCTATATTGTAATATTTTGTTTGCAAACAAAATAATAAAACAATCATTGTAGAGTCGTAACATAATAGTATAGTAATTAGTATTAATAATCATTTTAATAATTATAATTTATGGTAATGTTAATAAAATTGCTTTCTAAACATTTTTACAATAATACCAAATGTAAATGATCTTTTTAATATTTTATTCATACTAAGTAATTGAATAATAATGATTGCTGTTTAAATATGATAACAACTAATGTGATTATTTATTCATTAAACGAATTTATTTCGAAATTTCACACGAAAAAACATTAATTAAAATTCCTATAAATAATTATATGTTGATTTTTCATATTTTATAATTTGTTTAGTTATAATTTGTGTGCTCTGTGTAAAGTGAAGTTTTTCAATTTTTAAGATACGGCGATAGTGTAAAACCTTGTGCTGGCGGGTGGCCGTAGTCACGTTTTTCTTTGGAATATTGACCTTTGCAAAGCCATTAAAATAATTAATAAGAGCAACATTATACATACAGCCTCCACTGGCGCTATTAAAGCTTTGCGTTGCTAATGGACTTTGGTAAATCGATATAATAGCATTTAACGAGTAATTATAATTATAACTATAAATACATGCAATCTCCGAGATTGAAGTATGCGGGAGACGAGACGTGAAGTAAAAAGCGATTATTTCGTTGACAAAAACAGCTGATGCATTGTTCCAAGTCGGGGCTCTAGGGTTTGCGTTGGCGAGTGCTTTTAATCTTAGCGAACTCGGTAATATTTAACAAACAGGAAACACGGGGTGTAACTCGGCAACAAGTAACAACCTTATGAACTGGACGTTCATGGTCAGTCCGGTTTGACCGTCAGACTTTGCGTTTCGTTATTATTTCATGAAAACTTGTCCAATCTCTTTTGATATCCACCACGGACTGTGCAAGTCGACTGGAAAACATACTTGGAATCGTTTATAAACTAAAAAAAAAAAATGATATGCCACTCACAAACACTGTCGTATGAGCCTTATATATAGCCTAAACAAATCGAGAAAAAATTATATGGAAGGTAACAATGCTGCTTATTGTGTATTTGCCGTCGTGTGCAATTTATCCAGTAAAGGTATACGCGTGGGTGTTATCTTTATATTCATCCTGTTGTAAGTGTAAGTACACATTGTTATCGAGTCGTTAACAAGTTTAACGTATTTGTTCGATTTGCTTACATCGACTTCTTCTTTATCAGAACACTCTACAAATGGTGAATAATTTGTCGAAAATTGCCTGTGCATCACTTTTACTCGGCAGCGAAAGGAGAAAGCGGTAAAATGTTAATTGGGGGCAATCATTGATTTTATTATACATATACATAATGTACACAATCCAAGAACATACTAGTTACCTGTGATGAACGATTCTCAAAACGCCAGTTTCGCAAAAGTTATAAAGTAAACATAAAACATCGAAGCTAAAAAATCAAATCAATAAAATTCAAATTTAGATTTCTAAAATCTATTCTATCACTCCTAATTTAAGGTTTTTTTTTTGAAAATCTTTTTGGTCCGAAATGTATGAAAAAGTTATTTTTAAACCCTACAAAACAGGGCCACTATATTGATAATGTTGTTCGAGAACGAATATGCAATATTTATAATGCATACAAATTTTTAAATTTGGATTTATGATCAGTTTTCAATAACTTAAAATAGTTTATTAAATCAATGGTTCAAAGTCATAACGTTAATCTCGATTAATAAGTAATATTGTATTAAAAAATGTTGGACCTGGACATTTTTTTAAAATTAAACCGCTAAAAATAAAATTGTTCTATTAGTAATATAATAAGAACTTATGTTGTTCAGACCTGTTGAAAAAAATTATGCTTCACTCTGTTAAAATAAACGGTAAGTTTGTTTTTCAAATCACAAATAGTTTTGTATGTAGTCGCGAGTACTAACCATCCATGAAATAAAACTTGTTTTGAAGTCTTATTTTATTTTATTATCCAATTATGTCAAAAAAGTACCTACCCTTTAAAAATATGCCAGTCTAATTTTATTAAAATAAAAAAATAGACTATAAATATTATATTATAATAAAAAAAACCAGAGCAGTTACAGCTAGACCAGTCAACAGGAAAAATGCAACAATAACGGATGTAAAAATTCTAAATAATCAATAGCGTTAACTTCCTTACAAAGTTTCTTTTTACACAATAATTTACAATCACATGAACAACTTTCATCGTCGCTATATTTTCAGCCGCAAATATATATTTTATTGTACAATAAAATATAATATTATATAGATATAAATGGTATGTTGTATAAAATGGGTTTACGATTCTGACTATACCGCACACACACACACAATACTACCACTTCAATGTCGAAATCATTCAAATATTATACCAGTAAACTTTTAAGGATAAAATAAATTGCATTATATGCAATGTAAGTATATTTTTTCTTATTATCAAACTTAAATGCCGCATTAAAATATACGACCGATTTGCAGTCAAATGGTTATCAATACAATGAAATCTTTAAAAAGCATACCTACAACGTATTTATTTTATTGTTTTTTTATCGCTTAACCCAATTTCATAAAAAAAACACGGTCAAAACGCAGTTGAAAATGTGAGTGTATTATATTTGTTGACGTGGTTGAATAAATTTGACTTTCAACTTAATACGCATTATCAAATTTGATATCGAGCTTCAACACAATAGCTATTTATATCGCAATATTCCATATTAGTATGCTCTTTTAGAGTACTCTATGACCCGGAAAAAAAAAACATTTGCAGGGTTGCTTTGTTGGAAAACGACCTATTAAATTTCAGTAACGTTATTGCTGGAATCGATTTGGCTGGTTTATACATACAATTTGGTTTCAAAGAAAAAAAACAAAAAGCCAGTATAGTGGGGTCGGGGCATAGTGGGGACGGAGAGGTCTACAGATTTTATTATAACTAAAAGTGATAAAATCACTTTTATATAAACGCTTCGATGCGAATCTGTGGATAGTATGTGCAAACCAGTTATAGCGGTTTCGAAGATATCACGGGACCAGCAATAATGTACTTAAAATTTAATATTTAGTCTTGTGCAGGGTGGATGCGATAAGGGTTGATCGTCTGTCTATAAAAATGTACTGTCATAGTTACCCATAATTAACAATATAATGAAAATATTTTCATTACCTGTTGACCGTTGATTCACTCACTCA